AAGCAACAATAATCAAACTCACCCTAAAAAAAAATCCAGGAGGAATATGTCACACTAGAGACCAACATTTTTTTCTCTCAAGAAATCCAACACAATCATCTTGAGACAGATTTCTGTTTCTTGAGTTGAACCCCTGATGCAGTTAAAGGCCATATTGTTGAAATATCTGTAAATTCAAATCCCACTTGGTGTCATTAGATTCCCATGAGGCTGGAGATCAATTAAGAAAAAAGAGCAGATCCACATTTCCTGTAGTAACTCACTATAGGAAACGCGTATTGATTGAAATAGTGAAGGAGCTGGTAGAAGAACATGGACTGTGTAAACATTTTTTTCTCTCTTTCTCAAAATTTTTTTTTTTTTGAGACAGAGTCTCCCCCTGTTGCCCAGGCTGGAGTGCAGTGGTGCCATCTCGGCTCACTGTAACCTCCGACTCCTGGGTTCAAGCAATTCTGCCTGCCTCAGTCTCCTGAATAGCTGGGATTACAGGTGCCTGCCACCACGCCCGGCTAATTTTTGTATGAATTTTATATTAATGAATTCACCTAAAGATTTTGAGACGAGCAAGGTGGCTCACACCTGTAATCCCAGCACCCTGGGAGGCTGAGGCCGGCGGATCACAAGGTCAAGAGATCAAGACCATCCTGGCCAATATTGTGAAACCCTGTCTCTACTAACAATACAAAAATTAGCTGTGTGTACTGGCGCACTCCTGTAGTCCCAGCTATTCAGGAGATTGAGGCAGGAGAATTGCTTGAACCCAGCAGGCAGAGGTTGTAGTGAGCTGAGATCACGCCACTGCACTACAGCCTGGGTAACAGAGTGAGACTCCGTCTCAAAAAAAAAAAAAAAAAAGAACAAGCTCGAGGTGGCTCACGCCTGTAATCTCAGCACTTTGGGAGGCCAAGGCCGGCGGATCACCAAGTCAGGAGATCGAGACCATCCTGGCCAACATGGTGAAACCCCGTCTCTAATAAAAATACAAAAATCAGCTGGGCATGGTGGCATGTGCCTGTAGGCCTAGCTACTCAGGAGGCTAAGGCAGGAGAATCGCTTGAACCCAGGAGGTGGAGGTTGCAGTGAGCCGATATCACGCCACTGCACTCCATCCTGGAGACAGAACTAGACTCCGTCTCAAAAAAAAAAAAAAATAGCCATAGGTGGTGGCGGGTGCCTGTAACCCCAGCTACTTGGGAGGCTGAGGCAGGGAGAATTGCTTGAACCCAGGAGGCAGAGGTTGCAGTGAGCAGAGATTGCACCACTGCATTCTGGCCTGGGCAACAGAGTGAGACTCCATCTCAAAAAAAAAAGGGCAGCAAGAATGGTACGTGGCCACATAGGCCTTTTTCAGTTTGCTTTGCTGGAATTTTTTTATTTATTATTATTATTTTTTTAGTGACGGAGTTTCACTCTTGTCGTCCTGGCTGGAGTGCAATGGCAAGATCTCACCTCACGGCAACCTCCACATCCTGGGTTCAAGTGATTCTCCTGCCTCAACCTCCCGAGTACCTGGGATTACAAGTGCCTGCCACCACACCCAGCTAATTTTTGTATTATTAGTAGAGGCAGGGTTTCACCACATTGGCCAGGATTGTCTCAAGCTCCTGACCTGAGGTGATTCACCTGCCTCGGCCTCCCAAAGCACTGGAATTACAGGTGTGAGCCACCATGCCCATCCGCTTTGCTGGAACTTTTAATAAGGAGTCTCATATTAGTTTGTTTTCTTTTGTTTTGTTTTGAGATGGAGATTTGCTCTTGTTGCCCAGGCTGGAGTGCAGTGTCGTGATCTAGGCTCACCACAACCTCCCCTCCCCGGGATCGAGCTATTCTCCTGCCTCCGCCTCCCATGTAGCTGGGATTACAGGCATGTGCCACCAAGCCTGGCTAAGTTTGTATTTTTAGTAGAAACAGGGTTTCACCACATTGGTCAGGCTGGTCTCGAACTTCTGACCTCAAGTGATCCACCCACCTTGGCCTCCCAAAGTGCTGGGTTACAGGCGTGAGCCACAGTGCCTGGCCTTGTTTTTTTTTTTTTTTCCTTTTTTCTTTTTTTTCCTTTTTTTTTTTTTTTTTTTTTGAGACAGAGTCTCTCTCTGTGGCCAGGCTGAAGTGCTGGAGTGCAGTGGTGCGATCTTGGCTCACTGCAATCTCCATCTCATGGGTTCAAGCAATTCTCTTGCCTCAGCCTCCTGAGTAGCTGGGACTACAGGCACGCGCCACTATGCTCAGCTAATTTTTGTATTTTTGGTAGAGATAGGGTTTCACCATGTCAGCCAGGATAGTCTTGATCTCCTGACCTCGTGATCCACCCACCTTGGCCTCCCAAAGTGCTGGTATTACAGGCGTGAGCCACTGCACCCGGCCTGTTTTCTTTTTTTTGAGATGGGGTGTCGTTCTGTCGCCCTCGCTATAGTGTAGTGGTACGATCTCAGCTTACTGCAGCCTCGACCTCCCAGACTCAGGTGATCCTCCCACCTCAGCCTCCCTAGTAGCTGGGACTACAAGTGCTTGCCGTCACGCTACCTAATTTTTTATATTTTTAGTAGAGATGGAGTTTTGTCATGTTGCCCAGGCTGGTCTCAAACTTCTTTGCTCAAGCAATCCTCTTACCTTGGCCTCCCACCGTGGTGAGATCATAAGCATAAGCCATGGTGCCTGGCCTGGAATCTCATATTAGATTTTTAAAAGCCTTCTGGGGACCGGGCGTGGTGGCTCACGCCTGTAATCCAAGCACTTTGGAGGCCAAGGCGGGCGGATCACCTGAGGTCGGGAGTTCAAGACCAGCCTGACCAACATGGTGAAACCCCGTCTTAAAAAAAAAAAAAAAAAAAAATTAAAAAGCCTTCTGGAGGCTAGGAAGCCAAGCCAACAACTTGCAACCAGATTTCACCTGCAGTATCTATAAATTTGAGTGCATTTCTCTCTTCTCAAGGTCCCATAAATATCCTAAGGTTTCTGCCAGGAAGTGACCTTGTGATTTACCTGGGGAAGTGATCAGCTCCCCTCGGCCTCCCAAAGTGCTGGGATTACAGGCATGAGCCACTATTCCTGGCCAATAACACTGAATCTAAATGAGACCAGGCTTGTTTTGTAAACAAGAATAAGGCTGGGATCCCTGGAAGCCAGGTACTAAGCCAGTTAACTCATGAGGGCTTTGTAAGCATTTGGTCCATAAAGTCAACCTTAGCTCCTTAAAACTGTTTGGTCATATCTAATTCTCTGTCTAAAAAAAAAAAAAAAAAAAAAAAAAGAAAAGAAAAAGAAAGAAAAAAATTAAATAAAAAAAAGGAAAAGAAAGAACAGGATGTGATCATCCCCAAGGTGTCACAGTGTAGTAAGAGACATCCAGCAGCACAAGGAGGGAATGTAATTTCTATCAGACGAAGGGGTTGGGAATCTGAGAAGTCTTCACAGGAGATGACATTAGAGCTGGGATTTGAAAGATGAGTAGAAGTTATCTCAGTGAAGAGTGGGGAGGGCATTCCAGGTAGAGGGACGCATGAGTAAAGGCATTCAGATGTAAATGTCCACACCATGCTTGGGGATGACTAATAGGTCAGTGCAGCTAAACTGCAGGATGCTGGGGGCTAGACTGTGAAGGGACTCCTTTAGCCATGGTCAGGAGTTGCGACTTTATTTTGTAAAGTAGATAATGGGAGTCTTCAGAGATTTTTTTAAGCCGGATTGGTCACATGTCCAGAATTGGAAGGGTAAAACTGCAAGTGGGGAGACCCTTTGAGACACTTTCATAATTGTCTGAGAGGGAGGGGATGAGGACCTGTTCTAAGCCAGTGACAAGGTGCTGGGGGAGAGTGAAGTAGAAGTAGAAATAGAGAAGTAAGGGAGGTGATCTGATTTACGAAATAAAGATAGTGACTTGATTTTAGATTGATCATAGTGAAACCATTAAGCTCTCAGGCTGTGGAATCAGGAAGAATCTTGACTACACAACATCCCAGTTATGTGACCTTAGACATTATTTAACATCTCTGGGCCAGGGCTATGGCTCATGCCTATAATCCCAGCATTCTGGGAGGCTAAGGCAGGTGGATCACTTGAGCCCAGAAGATCAAGACCAGCCACAGGCAACATGGCAAAACCCTGTCTCTACAAACAATACAAAAATTAGCCATGCATGGTGGCCCGGACCTGTAGTCCCAGCTACTCAGAAAGCTAAAATGAGTAGATCACTTGAGTCCAGGAGGCAGAGGTTGCAGTGAGCCAAGCTCACGCCACTGCACTCTAGCCTGGGCAACAGAGCAAGACTCTGTTTCGAAAAAAGAAAAAATCTCTGATCCTCAGTTACCTCATCAACAAAGTGGGGATAATAAAATACCTGCCTTGTAGGATTATTACAGGATGTAAAGGAGATAACATGTGATATGCTTATTACAGGACCCAAAACAAAGTTAAGCCCTGTTAGCTATTATCATTAGTATTATTAATTTTACTGCAAGCTAAATTTCAGTGACTGATGGAAATGTCCAATAGACAGTTGGAAATGCGATTGAGGTGCAAAAGGAAGATATGAACCAGAGATTTCTGACCCACCTTGTAGAGATAACCGTTGCTATGGGAGAGTGGCTACGCCTCTGTGGAGGGCAGAGAATGGAATTTTTTTTTTTTTTTTTGAGACGGAGTTTCGCTCTTGTTGCCCAGGCTGGAGTGTAATGGTTCGATATCGGCTCACCGCAACCCCTGCCTCCTGGGTTCAGGCGATTCTCCTGCCTCAGCCTCCCGAGTAGCTGTGATTACAGGCATGCGCCACGCCTGAGTAATTTTGTATTTTTTGTAGAGACGGGGTTTCTCCATGTTGGTCAGGATGGTCTGGAACTCCTGACCTCAGGTCATCCGCCCACCTCGGCCTCCCAGAGTGCTGGGATTACAGGCATGAGTCACTGCGCCTGGCCAGAGAACAGAATTTTACAGAATGTTCACATTTAGAGATGGTAGGAGAAAGGTTATAGACAATTAGTGGCTTGCGAGGAAGGGGTCCTTACCTTGGAAAGGATCTTTAAATTGCTAATCAGTGGCTTCATTTAAGTCCTCAGTCTCTGACACCTCTGCAACATTGGATGCGCATGACCTCTTAAAGCCTCCTTTCAAAATCTCTCTTCAGTTTCCATGGTGTTCTGTACACTTCGATCTTCTGTGATTATGCATAGATGTCACAGCTGAGAGCCTTATAGAGCTTACTTACTCCAGCCCCCTCATTTTACAAATGAGGAGACTAAAGAGCCAGAAAATGGGAGTAGCTTGTTGAAGGCTCACAGTCAGTTGCTCCTTCCTTGTCTTCCCCCCACCAGCTTTTCTCACTTCCCATGGTTCTTCGCTCTTTGCTCTCATATACTCATTTCCTCTTTCGATAAACTCATCTGTCTGCACAGCTTCTAGTGTTGCTTTCAGGCTTTTGGTTGCCAAATCGAAATCTCACCCACCCTTGCCTCTCTTCAGAGCTGCCGTCCCACCCTTCGTACAGTCAGCTAGATGTTCCGCTAACACCTCACACCCAGCATGTCTGTACATCATCTTTCCCCATACAACTAGCTTCCGTCTTTGACTCCACTATCCTATTAACGGCACCTCCATTCTCCCAGTTAGTTAATCCTTGACCAAGTCTGGTCAGTTAGTCCTACTAAAGGCCCATGCAGCACAGTGATTAAGCACATTCCAGTTGTAGGAAACAAAGGTATTTATTTCTCCCAGCTTCGCCTTTTTCTTTTTTCTTTTCTTTTTTTGGGGGGTGGGGGACAGAGTTTTGCTCTTGTTGCCCAGGCTGGAGTACAATGGCATCGTCTCAGCTCACCGCAACTTCCACCTCCCGGGTTCAAGCGATTCTCCCGCCTCAGCCTCCCAAGTAGCTGGGATTATAGTTGCGTGCCACTACACCTACCTAATTTTTGTATTTCTAGTAGACACGAGGTTTCTCCATGTTGGTCAGGCTGGTCTTGAACTCCTGACCTCAGGTGATCCACCTGCCTTGGCCTCCCGAAGTGCTGGGATTACAGGCCAGCTTCGTCCTTTTCAAAAGAAAAAATTGAGTCTGTGGAAGATAAGGCAACACAGCCTGTGAATGGAAGTCAAGACTAGAACCCAGGGGCCAGGCACGGTGGCTCACGTCTGTAATCCCAGTGCTTTGGGAGGCCGAGGCAGGTGGATCACCTGAGATCAGGAGTTTGAGACCAGCCTGGCCAACATGGCGAAACCCCGGCTCCACTAAAATTATGAAAATTAGCTGAGTGTGGTGGCATGCAGCTTTAATCCCAGCTGCTCAGGAGGCTGAGGCAGGAGAATCAGTTCAACCCGAGAGACAGAGGTTGCAGTGAGCTGAGATTTAGTCACTGCACTCCAGCCTGGGCAACAGACTGAGACTCTGTCTCAAAAAAAAAGACTAAGGGCCAGGCACAATGACTCACATCTGTAATCCCAGCACTTTGGGAGGCGGAGGGCAGTGGATCACGAGGTCAGGATATATCAACACCATCCTAGCCAAAATGGTGAAACCCCATCTCTACTAAAAATACAAAAACTAGCTGGGCATGGTGGTGTGTGCCTGTAATCCCAGCTACTCAGGAGGGTGAGGCAGGAGAATTGCTTGAACCCGGGAGGCAGAGGTTGCAGTGAGCTGAGATTGCACCACTGCACACCAGCCTGGGTGACAGAGAGAGACTCTTTCTCAAACAAACAAACAAAAAGACTAGAACCCAGGGATATCGGAAATCCTATCCAATGTACTTTGTACCACACCACATTGCCTCTTGCAATCTTATTAGATTTGTCACTTCCTTTTCATCACTATTGCCACCTCCCTAGATTAAACCTTCGTCATCTCACGCCTGCATTGTTGATGCAGCATCCTACCTCCCTTTGCAGGCTCCGGTCTACCCAGTCCCCAGTGCATCCTGCCAAGTTAATCACCCTAAACCATTGTTTCCACCTTGTCATTCTCACTGAAAAGCTTTTAGTGGTTCCTCACTGCCCACAAAATAAAATTCGAATTTCCAAGCCAGGCACTAAAACGCCTCCAAAATCTGGTGCCAGCCCACCTTTCCATGCCTCATTACCCACACTACCCTTTGATACCCTATGGCCCAGCCACACCCAATACTCTGTGTTCCTTGAACAGCTTATGCACTTTCATGCCCTGTTGCCTTTTTACACACTGTCCTCCCAACTTCAAGTGTTCTTCCTTTGATTTTCTCCTGATCCAGTGCTACTACTCACCTTCAAAGTCTCAACTCAAATGTCCTACTGCATGAAATCTTTTCAGATTCCCCTAGTCAGAATTAACCTCTGTGAAAACATGTGTGACAGGACTTGCTGTTTTAGGTCTTTAGTAAACGTGATTTCCCGTCCCCCTGCCCCTTTTCACCTGTGTTCCCACAGAATATTGCTAATACCTCTGTTTAACACTGATTTCACTTACCTTGTTACTTATTTAAACAACCAGTGAGACTCATCTCATTCATTTTGCATCCTCCACAGCCCCTAACAGAGTTCCTGGTACACAATAGGTACCAGGAACATAACATAACAAACATTTATTGAAATGAAAATTGTGGTGCCAAGACTCATTAGCAATTCAGCAGTACCCACTCCTGTTGCCGAACATAGAGTGTTATGTTGAGAGAAGAGAATCTGGGAAACCTTATTGGCAAATCGCTAACAATTTGCTTCAGAGCAGCCTTGGTAACTTTCACCCTGACAGTTTGCTTGAGGGTGACGAGGTAGGAAGGGTGACAGCTCAGATAAGGTTCTTGTCCACGAATTCTTTAAAATCAGCTGAGGTCAATGCAGGTCCATCACCGCGAGCCAATGAGTTACAAGTAGTTGGAGAGAGCAGTGACTGGCGCTGAAGAGGTGAGGAAGTGGAAGCAGAAGCTCTTTGGAGCCATTTGGAAAAAGAGGCTATCACAATCCAGAAGTTAATCTTTCCCCGGAAAGGGGTTCTTGACCTTGGAAGAGTGGGTAACCATGATGGATGTTGCAGGTCAAGTAGGTTGGCATGTGTGACACACCTTTCTGGTCTCTCCAGGCCATTCTGGACACAGCTTTTATAATGCCAAGGCTGCTGTGCAGATCATTCCAGTTCTGGAAGTGCTGCCTGGGATGTGGCCAAGATAAAAAGACAACCGGATTCTCATGCTGACAGCTGAAGGACAGCTTGAAGGCCTCAAGTCATTTCTTTGTTGATCACTTTCATTCGTTCATTCAATTATTATCAGACATATTCTAAATACCTACTATGTGCCAGGCACATAAGTGCTGATACAGAGATGAATGGTGCCCTGCCCTTAAAAAGAATTTCGTCTAGGCCAGGTGCAGGAGCTCACGCCTGTAATCCCAGCGCTTTGGGAGGCCAAGGCAGATGAATCACTTGAGGTCAGGAGTTCGAGACCAACCTGGCCAACGTGGTGAAACCCCGTCTCTACTAAAAATACAAAAATCAGCCAGGCTTGCTGGCACATGCCTGTAATCCCACCTACTGGGGATGCTGAGGCAAGAGAATTGCTGGAACCAGGGAGGTGAAGGTTGCAGTGAGCCAAGACTGTGCCGCTGCACTCCCGCTTGGGCCACAGAGCCAGAACCTGAAAAAAAAAAAAAAAAAAAAAAAAGAAGGAAAGAAAGAGAAAGAAAAGTAAGAACAGAGGATGGAACTCTGAGTAACATCAACATTTAAGGGGCACAGTAAGAAGAAAGCATGGAGCAGTCACAGATATAAGAGAGAGACCAGTAGAGAAAATTGTAACAAAAGTCAAAGGAGAGCTGGGGGCAGCACTACTGTAGTCCCTGTAGTCTCAGCTACTCGTGAGGCTGAGGCAGGAGGATCACTTGAGCCCAGGAATTCAAGACTGCAGTGAGCTATGCTCGTGCCTGTGAAAAGTCACTGCACTCCAGCCTGGACAAGATAGAAAAACCTCATCTCAAAAAAAAAAAAAAAAAAAAAAAAATCAAAGGATTGGGAGGCTGAGGCAGGTGGATCACCTGAGGTCAGGAGTTTGAGACCAGTCTAGCCAACATGGTGAAACCCCGTCTCTACTAAAAATACAAAAATTAGCCAGGTGTATTGGTAGGTGCCTGTAATCCCAGCTACTGGGGGAGCTGAGGTAGGAGAATCGCTTGAGCCCGGGAGGCAGAGGTTGCAGTGAGTGGAGATGCTGCCACTGCTCTCCAGCCTGGGACAGAGCAAGACTCCATCTCAAAAACAAACAAACAAACAAACAAACAAACAAACATCTCATATGATGACAATTTTATTTTAAAAGCATATGAAGGCCGGGCGCGGTGGCTCAAGCCTGTAATCCCAGCACTTTGGGAGGCCGAGGCGGGTGGATCACGAGGTCAAGAGATCGAGACCATCCTGGTCAACATGGTGAAACCCCGTCTCTACTAAAAATACAAAAAATTAGCTGGGCGTGGTGGTGCGTGCCTGTAATCCCAGCGACTCAGGAGGCTGAGGCAGGAGAATTGCCTGAACCCAGGAGGCGGAGGTTGCGGTGAGCCGAGATCGCGCCATTGCACTCCAGCCTGGGTAACAAGAGTGAAACTCCATCTCAAAAAATAAAATAAAATAAAATAAAAAAATAAAAGCATATGAATATATTTATTATTGAAAAATGAATTTAAGGGGCTGGGAGCAGTGGCTCACTCGTGTAATTACCAACATTTTGGGAGGCCAAAGTGGAAGAATTGCTTGAGCCCAGGAATTTGAGACCAGCCTGGGCAACAAGGTGAGACCTTAACTCCACAAAAAATTAAAAAGTTAGCTGGCATGGTGGTGCATGCCTCTAGGCTCAGGTACTCAGGAGGCTGAGATAGGAGGATCACTGGAGCCAGGAAAGTCGAGGCTGTAGTGAGCTGTGATCATGCCACTGCACTCCAGCCTGGGAGACAGAATGAGACTCTGTCTAACAAAAAAAAAAAAGAAAGAAAAGAAAAAAGCCAGGCACAGTGGCTCAAGCCTGTAATCCCAGAACTTTGGGAGGCTGAGGGATCACAAGGTCAGGCCTTCGAGACCAGCCTGGCCAACATGGTGAAACCCCGTCTCTACTAAAAATACAACAATTAGCAGGGTGTGGTGGCGTGCAGCTGTACTCCCAGCTACTCAGGAGGCTGAGGCAGGAGAATCGCTTGAACTTGGGCAGTGGAGGTTGCAGTGAGTTGAGATCACACCACTGCACTCCAGCCCGGGCGACAGCATGAGACTCCATTTCAAAAAGAAAAAAAAGAAAAAAGACTTTAAGGTTTCACATCTGTTAGTAATGTTGTTTTCTGTTTATTGGGGGTTTTTGT